CGCCCAGAGTCCCCCGTTGTGGGGAGATGGGCAGGGACAAGTCAAATAAATAAATAAGTAAGTAAGTAAGTAAGATCAAAAGTATTTCTACAGATACCCCAAAGATAATATTTTATTCATTGCTATTCAATATACATACATACGTACATACATACATATATCCATCACAACAATCCCTTACAGGGTAAGTATCATTATTCAAGTATAGAAAAAGGGCACAGCATAACCAAAGAATTAAAGGCATGAGATTAAAAAAAAGGAAATGTATTTAAAAACAGAGATGTGGTTTTTCCAGGAAAAAATTCTTACATAAAATAAGTATTATTCAAAGTATCATATTCCTCTCAATATTCATAGCCTTCGCAAGTATGTGTGCTACATTATTGATGGGGGGGGGAGCCATGAAGTCTCTGCTTCTCACTTTTTTAGAACAATTATCTGAAATTTAATCATCATAAAACTTTAAAACTACCAAACCTGTCTGAAGTAGATTTTCTGGCCCACATCTCTGGTTCTCAATATCCTTCTATCCTGCAAACTAATCTCACTTCAACCAGATCCATGTATCATTTCATGGCTCTTTAAACATCTTACCTTTTTCTTAGGATCTCATTAACCCTTTCCAACCATGACTTTCTCTGTCTTCCCCTTCTCAACTCATTCCAACTGCATTTTTCTTCTCTCCCTCTTTTTCTCTGTTAGTTTCTCCTGACATACTCAGTTCTCACTTTTACATAACCAAGTGGGCAGAAGTACCCATCTACACATACTCATTTTTGCTTCTTTTGAGAACATTATGTGAGAGATCATGGGAAGGGAAATGATGGAAGGGAGGGTAAACAATCAAGAGATAGGATTCAATCCTAGCATCGGACCACGCACTACTCCACTTGTAACTGCTTTTGTATGCTTAAAACTTCTCCATCCATTTCCCTATCTTTAATAAACTTTCTACCAAATTATAAAATACATATTTGTTAGAGTTATGCTCTAGTTATTTGCCATTTATATATAATTTGCAATCATTCAATCCATTTTCTGTATCCAAAGCAATTATCTCGGCCTTTGATATATTAATTTTCAGCTCCATAGAATCTAATATTTGCTGCAAAATCATTTGAATTCTCAGTCAACACCCCAGAAGTACTTGCATACAGAAGTACCCTTAACTAACACACCCTGATAAAAGTTAAAACTTAATGCAGCTTCTAGCTAAAACAATTACCTATTTCTTAAAGGTAACTCAAATTCCAAAACAAAGTTCTTTTCTTCTTTACCTTGAACCTCATCTGATTTCCTGGGCATAATTCCAACCATTTATCAGAGCTGTTGGAAAGATGGTTCATTTCACTTTTTCCCCTGACTCAGCTATAGTAGCTCCTTGCTCTGTTTCCCTGGAGTTCTGCCTCTGTCTTTTAAAAAAATGTCATTTTATCTAGGAGGGTTGCGTTTGAAGGAATCTCCTGAACATGCATGCTAAAGCCCATGCCTGAAAGAAAGTGTGAATTCAAACTCAGTTGCTGTCTAGCATTTAGACTGGCAGGGAAGCTACAGACTGGCTATCATTCTAATTGCCATACAAATCTCTAAAATTCTCTTTCCAGCATTCCCTCACTTCAGTCTCAAATCCTTTCAACACCTCTATTTTTAAATCCATTCACTTACTGAAGGGTCGTTCCTAGGTCCTGTACTTCCATTTTCAAAAACATGTTTTTTAATTTTCATCAAAATTGTTGCATTTCTCTCTTTCTCATCTTAATTTTCTTGTGGCTACACTCTTTACAACTGTCTTTTTCTCTATATACCCATCATACCATATCTTTCCATCATTTCTTTATGCATATTTTTAATCACTCACTGCCTGTTTCACTTCCTCGTTCTTTGGATGACGAAAATACATTAGCAGTCTTTTTCATACTTCGCAATAATATAACTTCACATGCTTCTGTGCACTCTGTAATGTATTTTTTTTTACTTTGTTCTGCACAACTTCCACTATATCCTCTTTCTAATCATTAAATTGGGAGAGAATTTATTTTCTGATATTTTTTCATGCAAGTCTCATCCTGTTTCTTCCTGTAGTCATTCTATATTTGCTTTCATTTCTTTCACTTTGTTCCTTTCCTTCCATATCCTTTTTTCACAAGATCACTTTTGTTCACAGTTTACTATAATACAATTCAACCTTTCTCCCTACAGCACTTCCTTTAGAAAAAAGTCTGTGTTATCAAATATAATAATGCGTTTGCCAAGTAGAAATTCAAGTTTGTAGAACCCAGGTTAGTGATTTTATTACTTTTAGTTGTCTGAGATAAAAAAAAATAAACATACATACTTTTATGTATTAGTAGCAGGAACTGTAACATAAATAGGGCAGTGAAGTGAAAAGCTTTTCATGTTTTTAACTCATGCAACTATAAGGCAGGAGGTAATAAATATCACAAACATCTCTACTAAGCTGTAATCAGAATATGAAGATACGTAAGTACACTAAGTAAATTTATTTTGTAATTTTTGCAAGACTCTGGGCATTTTTACCTAAATGTAAAAATATTTACTGAGACGTAATCAAAAGTGTCTAAATGGCACACAATCAATAAGTTTTAATGTAAATGTCAGAGAGCCACATGCATATTTAACGCAAATACAAATATTATTAGACCAGAAGTCCTCTACCTAATCCCCAAATGTAATTTTTAAAATCATACAAAATACAAGACTCCAATCATAAAATTTTAATAGTGTACTTCAAATAAATGTATAAAAGTACACAACTCACATGAAAATAGTTAATGAAACTAACAAATATTAGGAAAATATTAACACATTTATCAAGAAAAACTCGCAGCAATGTCATCGGCATTATATTACATACACTCACATTGTTCATGTCTGGAATGCTGACATCATCCAAGTCAGAAACAATGCTTCCCCTACGATTAGTGCGGCTAAAATAATCAGCTGCAGTTTCACCGTGATGATGAAAATCACTTGACTTCAATAACCAAAACAAACACAAACAGATAGAGAGAAAATGACAGAAAAAAATTCAGAAACCTAAAATATAATTTGATCATGTTATTCTTATTCCTTTATCAAAATTGTTTGAGATTTTCCTTTGAATAATTAGGTCTCTCTTAATTTTGACTTGAAAACTTTAAGGCTATCAACATCAGTTTGCAATCCTATGCATTTATGCATCATATACAGTATGTGTCTGTTTCACAACAAGACTGTTTTCAAGCATAATAAGCCTGACAAAAGTTATAGACTCTGACAGTGTTTTTGAAATCAATCAGATTTACAGAGTTTTAATACATAAAGTCTGTAAATTTAATACATTTAATACATAAAGTAGAGCCAGTTGGGTGTAGGGGTTAAGCATCAAGCTAGAAACTGGGAGACTGTTAGTTCTAGTCCTGCCTAGGCACAAAGCCAGCTGGGTGACCTTGGGCCAGTCACTTTCTCTCAGCCCCTAGGAAAGAGGCAATGGCAAACCACTTTGAAAAACCTTGCCAAGAAAACTGCAGGGACTTCTCCAAGTAGTCTCTGAGAATCGGACACAACTGAATGAATTAAAAAAAAAAAAAA